GAGTTGTAATCACCACAGTTATCTTGTTAAAACGTGATACGTATCTCGTTAAAACGTGATAGTTATCTTGTTAAAACGTGATACGTATCTCGTTAAAACGTGATAGTTATCTTGTTAAAACGTGATATGTATCTCGTTAAAACGTGATAGTTATCTCGTTAAAACGTGATGGTTATCTCGTTAAAACGTGATGGTTATCTTGTTAAAACGTGATAGTTATCTTGTTAAAACGTGAAAATTCTATGTCCAGGAAGTGGCGGTATTATGCTAGGCTAGTACAGTGCCTGACATGATTTGGTCGGGTTTCCCTTCATGTTTGATACTATCTCGTTTTAACAAGATACGTATCACGTTATAACGTGATAGCGCTCGGATTTTTTTTTTTCCTGCGTGATAGCAATACGCTTCCGTAAATTTCACCTCTAAAAGATGAGTGTTTTGTGTGATCTGTGAAGCAGGTTGAGGTGTGTTGAACTAAGTTTGCCACACTGTGCATTTAAGTTTACTTTGATATTTGTGCTGAAGTTTAGTTTTTAACTGTAAAACTGAGATGTCTGAGAGGAACCGAACACTAGAGGGGGCTGTGTTCAAAAATCAAACCTGGATGCTGCAACACTCAGATGTAATTATGTTAAACAATTAGCAGTTTAGATTTAGCTCCTCACAGTTTTAGTGATGCTAATGTTTCTGTTGGCTGTGCCCACCACTGGTTTTAGTCATAGGCTGTGTCCAAATTCAGGGGCTGGGTCCTTTGAAGGGCGCATTTGTCGGCCACATCAGAGGAGTCTTTGAATTTGGACAGCCTCCGAAGCGGCGCAGACTTTAACAACCATTAAATTCAGTCTTTGGAGGACGCAGCCCCTGAATTTGGACACAGCCATAGAGTACAGTTTATTCTAATAAAATCAGCAATCTAGGTAACATGTTTGTGAAGAAAACAGTTTTATGAAGCTCTTCTTTGTGTCAAATCCTATCTGGTCAGTGGTGGGCACATTTTTTAAAACACCTTATAATTCAGGAGGGGGACTGCACCTCGTTACTGCCTGCAGAGGAATGTGCTTCCTGTTTCAAACAGGTTTTTTCGTGTGAAAACCTGGAATAATTGAGAAACTGAGGCCATAAAGATGAATGGGGATGTGTCCCTTGCTGTGACAGTGGAGATGTTCGACTCTTTAAAAGCAGCTGGGATCACACTGGGCACTTCTCGGTATCTTCGGGACTCTGTACGTAATCATAACAGCTCAATCAAAGCAAGCCGCTGTTTTCATCTACCTCTGTGGAAGGAGATGAGTCGAGACGAGCAGCTTTTTAACACATTTGAATAGAACTGAAATGAACCTTCTGTCAACATGTGGTCCAACATTTCAGTAAGAAACTCAAAATTGCTCATTTCAAAGGCGAGCGCAGCAATTTAAGAAATGTTTTTTTATGTTTTTTGTTACATTCAGTGATACTTTTTGTACCACACTTCAAAACCTTCACTAGATAGAAACTGATAAAAATATGACCGTCTTCAACTCAGTCGCGTTTCTTAAGGAGTTGCAGAAATAAAAGTTAGAATTTGTGTGTTTGCAGAAATGTCAAGACAACACAGAGGGGGATCACTGTGAACTCTGTGCTCCTGGATTCTACGGGGTGGTCCGAGGTTTTTCTGATGACTGTAAACCCTGCGCCTGCCCTCTTACCAACCCAGACAACAAGTAAACATTTTTATCTTTTACTTACTTGTAAAGTAATATAAAGAACAATATTTTATATGTATTATTATTCTAGTATGTTTTTCTTGAAACTTACATTCTCCCTGTGTGATGTCATTCTGTATTTAGTTTTAGCCCAACATGTGTAGCAGAGGGATTCGATGACTATCGCTGTACTGCCTGTCCTGAAGGATATGAAGGAAAATACTGTGAAAGGTGAGATAATTAATAAATAACAAATAAAAAACATCAATAAGCACGATTACACTGCAAAAAATGTTCATCTAACCAACTCTTTTCAAATTATATCCAGTCAAAATGTACTTTTGATCTTGTTTAGAGACTTACATGTTAGAATATTTCTCTTGTTAATCTGGAAATTTGACTTGATTTAAGATTTGCAATTGTCTTATTCCATTGGCAGATTATTTCACTTAATTTGAATCTTCTTAAATTTCTCAAATTAAATGAAATAATCTGTCAATGCAAATCTTAAAATACCAGTAAAATTTCCAGACTAACAAGATAAATCTAACACATACCCTGTGTGTGTGTGTGTGTGTGTGTGTGTGTGTGTGTGTGTGTGTGTGTGTGTGTGTGTGTGTGTGT